GCATTTAAGGCTTTGGAATTTCCCAGAGCTAACTCATCTTCTTCTTTACTCCAATCTTCCTCAGGCTTCAGACTGATTGTCCCATCTTTCTCAGTTATGGTGGGATGGATCCATCCTTTGTCAGCAGCTCTCCAAGCCTTTTTGTCCAGAGATTTTAGGAAGGCAATCATACGAGGTTTCCAGTAGTCATAATTAGTTCCATCCAGAATGGGTGGTCTATTTCCGAAGACTCCTTCTTTGTCCATAGTGCCAGAAAGTGATATCCCTAGATCTCACCCAGTAATACAGGCAGGGTGCCTGCTCTGATGCCAATTGAAATTCTGGCTACAGATACTCAATGTCACGATCAATGTTATGACACGGTATCTGACTTACTATATGACAGTAAATACAAAAACAATAAAGAACACAGTCAATTGTTTACCCAGTTCAGTGTGCAACAACACCTACTCTGGGGGCTACCAAGCCAGGGAGGAAATCCACTATAAGAGATGTTAATTCAGGAATAAACCAACCAGTTTATCTCCTTCACTTAAGACCTACCCAATGCAATTTCAATCTAAGTACAACTTAAACCTGAGTTCCTACTCACTCCCCCTCAATCACAGCAGTGATACATAAAACAATTTGACTAATGAATTGATGAAGACACTCTTCAAAAACCTACACTTGATTAAGCTTCACAGCTTTTTAATCAAGCAACTCAACCACTCTTGCTTCACAGCTTTGAGTGATACACAAACTTAACTTGACTCTGCTTCACAGCTTTAGTCAAGAAACATTCAAACACTCTTGCTTCAAAGCTTTGAGTGCTACACAACCCTTACAATTAAAAACCTATTCCAAGTCACTTATCACAATGATAATTGCTTGGAGTACAATAATCAAACCTATACAGATTACAAATGATCTTCTGATCAACCAAGGGATTACTTGCAAAACAGCAGCTCTGTTGAATATATAGCAGCTGCAACTTCAGTTAGGGTTTCCACAAAAACCTAGGGTTAATTCCGTTTGACCTTAAGACTAGGTCATAGGACTTTATTAACCAGGTTAGGGTTGAGCTAGGTTACCCCTCAGAAAACGCAGGATTCTGTTCTGGAAAGACTGAGTTATTTCCTGAAAAAACTCAGAATTAACCAACCTGCAAACATGTTAGATCAGAACAGGATGTCTTAACATCTGTTATGACATCTGAGAAACCTGTCAACTGATTTATGAAAATGTGATCATTTTGCAAAATGCTCAGAAACACACTTAAAAACATCAGTACCTGAATGACAATATTTTTCTGCAAAGGTACCTAATGAATCAGTACAAACTAAACTAGAATGTTATGACATCAGTCATGACATTCACACATACACTTGGGTTTTACCAAAAATGCAAGCCAATAACTAAACACCTACAATACTGAATACCGCATGCACTAATAGAATCGAAAACCTAAGCATATTCAATAAGCAAAAGAATACTCTGAATTGAAGAAGAAAAAAGAAAACATACCTTGAATCGTAGATTTTTCGAAGAAGAAAAAAGTGTTTGGAATTTTTATCGAATAAGCGAGCTATGAAAACTGAATGAAGGATACGATTGGGAGAAGTAGTTTTATATACAGGTTGTGCCGACTCAATGACAAAAATGTCCTTCGATCTGCCAATAAACGTTTGCCACGTGTAATGTTAAGCTGGCCAAATACCACAAGTTTGGTTTTCCTATGGGCGATAACGTGGCTTCTCCAATGATGTAAGAGATCCTATACCAATCTGTAGTGATTTTTTTTTTCTTCGAAGTTAAACTTTTCAAAAACAAATTATGTATTATTCTTTAAAAAAAAAAAGTGTTTGATTTAATTTTGTAAAATTGTTATTTTATTTTTAAAATTTGAAAATAATAATATTTATTTAGATATTTTAATTTAAAAAATTCCCCTATCTTTTATTTAGATATTTTATAAATTAAAATAACATCACTTATATTAGAGAATAAACAGTGCTTTTTTTGTCATAGACAACGCTTTAAAGCGCTGACTATTCATACGCTGCTGCAAGTTAAGACAGTGTTTTTTATCAATATAAAAGCGTTGTTTAATGTAGCCTTTAGGCAGTGCTTTTTATCAATGTAAAAGCGTTGTTTAATGTAGTATTTAGGCAGCGCTTTATTTAATAAACACTCTGTAAAAGTCCCTATAGACAACGTTTTTTAAATCATAAATGCTTTCTAAAGTAAGTCTTTAGCAGCGCTTTCACTTTAGGAAACGCTTTTAAAAGCGCTGTTGTTTACTCTAGAAATTTATATACAACTGCTAGTCCTCCCTAAGCCTAAAACTAAGAGTTATTCGCAGGATCGATTAGTTAATCCTAAGACGTGTGCTAATAGAATGAAACGGTGCTTGTTCTGTCAACGCAACGCCTTACTTTGTGAGAAACGATTTCCTCTAAACAAAGGGAACAAGTAAAATTTTTCCACAAGTATGCTAAGAAATGACCGATTGAAAGTGACTCGTGACTGACAGAAGACTATGACTTGTTCTAAACGAAGTAAATGTCGAGTGAATTCTCGATGAATTTCAGTATCGTAATGCAACAAGATTCAATAATGTAAATGATAATATAAAAAGATTGTTCAAAAGTAAATAAGATGCAAGTAAAATATTTAAAGGACACAACTGAAAAGAAAGGAGTTTGTATTGAAATAAATGTGGTGATTCACGTACATTAACACTCTTGTTACGCTTGAAAATATGGAGTTTCACAAGTGATTTTAGTACAAAATGAACACCTCGAATCCTATATTGGACTCTCTTATTTATAGTAGTTACATAATTACTGAACATGCACTTCAATGTAATACTAAGTTGACACGTCTAAGGCTTAATGGAAACTGCCTCCTAAGATCTAGCCACATAGTTGGCGCCTTGATTAGGAAACTTCTTTCAACCGCTGTAATATTCAAATTTCAAAATCTATCCCGCCTATAAGTTTTACTTCGACATCAACCCTTACCGCGAACAAATAGCCCAAATTCTAAGTCTTGGATTCCACTTTTGTCGATGGAACTAAAGTCGACTGGCTTATTATTTCCTATGTCGGTTACTTGCTTCTTTTGTTCGTCGATCTCTCTTTGATTATTTATAAGAACTTTCCAGCTATCATTTTCTTGACTCTAATATTTTTAAAGTCCATACTCCTGAAAGGAACTTTCCCTTCAGTTCACAGGGTTGCCCTACTAACAATGCAATAGATGCCTTAAAGAAATTTTAAGGTAACAAAATGCTCCTCAGAGATGCCATTTTCGAATTCGACAAATATGAGGTAATGACATTTCTGAACTGTTGACTACCTTCAATCAAAACTCAATCGTTTTCATTGCTTATTTGACGTTACTATTTGACCTTCCTTATGATGTCATGCCATCATGATAACATATTTCACATTTTCCTCGAAACGTGCGCCTATCAACTTACCCATTATCTCTTTTAAATGAAAGACGTGGCCCACTATTTTTCACCTGCATCACCACGTGCCCTCAAATGTGGCACACGAACTTGAAAAGTTAAAACAAAGGAACTCAGATGTTTTTTTTTTGTTTTCCTTTTTATCTTAAGGTTTCTCCTTCATTTCTCTTTCTTTCTACAACCAAACCTTCAACGAACATTCTTCTCAAAAGAATGAAACCCTATTTCTTCTTTCAATCTTCATATTCTCTAACATTTTCTTCCTCTCTAATGAAGAGCTCATCCAAACGCATTCCTCATTCCGCAAAACTACAACATTCACTCATTATTAATGGAAGAGAGTATTTTCTCGATCCTCCCTACGCTGAAGAAAATGCTAAAATCTGGAAATCTCATGTATTGATTCCTTTTTCTCTTACTGATGAACCTTTAGCCTTCCTAGGTCCTCTTCATGAAGAAGGTAAAACAATAGTCTCTACAGACGAACATGCATTTTTTCCATGCAGTAATGTTACTAGACCCTTAGTCTCCCTTGAACAACCTTTATCACTTCATTATTGTCATATCCCAAATTTGTCCTACCTATTTTGCTCTTATTTGGCTTAGGCTTTGCATTTCATTTTCATTATGTCAATCACATATCATTCCTTCATTCAATAAGGCAGTGGTTCAGAATAAGAGGTTGTGTTAATTAGGGTTTCTATTGGTTTAAGTTTTTTTCATCAGACAAAGGCGATTTATCTGGTTCTTGATCATTGGATTATGTGGAATTAAGGATTTGAGGTATGGTCATCATGGATTCTTTCTCCTAAAGCTATAAAGGCTATTCTCCATCCAAATTCATCAGAGCCTGAATTGGAGTTTATTTCCCTTTTGTTTGTTAAGAGACTAAGATTTTGGATCCATGGTTATTGTGAAATTCTTCTTTCATCTTCCATCAAATATTTCACAAAGATCGGGTGCATCAAGGTTTTAACTTGTGATGTTTAAGTTTCATCCTATTTTAATTAAGAATTAGGGTTTCCGTATGCTTTGAGGCTTTCTACTTCATTCAAGATGAATTCAATTGGTTGCTTTATCAAATATGGTTGGACTAGTGTTTTGGAATTTCTTTCGCATCTTAAACCATATTCTTATCACTGGGCTTTTAAGCAAATTCTCGGGGTTTTATCAAGGGTCTAATTTAGAATCTAGGGTTTGGTTTCTTTACATCATCTCAAGGGTTTTATGTCAAAGAACATCTTGGCGGTCTTTTTCTTTCTACACTTCAAGTCGTACTTTCATTTTCAAATATTCAAGGCACTGATGCTTTATTGCTCGTTAAAGTTAAGGCATTCTTACTCCCTCAAGTACTTGTTGTTCCTAATGCAAGAGGATTTAAACTTAAAATTGAAGATGTTCATTCTAGTGATTGGTTTGAGATTCATTCATTCATCATCATTACGATAAAATGGATAAACAAGATTCAAGATTCAACTAAAGGTCCAAGACTTATCCAATTTCCATAAAACAAATTCATCATTCATAAATTCAAAGAGAAGACATGCAAGTTTCATATTCATTAAATTTTAAGCAATTTACAAGGAAATTTACAAAGTTTAAATACAAGTTACAAGTTTCTTATTTACAAAGAAAAGATAATTATTCTTCAAATCTTCTTGCTCCATCTTCAAGTGTCTTGTTCTCACGCCTTGCTATAACTTATTCTTCAAGTCTTCAGCCTTGCCTTGCCTTCTTCACCTTCCATCAATGTCACATGAAAACAAACAAGGAATTAGTTAGAACAATCATCATCCAAACATAAATCATAACAAGTTTTCACAAAAAAGAGTTTTCCTTTTTAGCTTCATCATTAGGGTTGAGCAAGGAATCAGAATACATGGGTTTGAATTCAATCATGTGCCAAAGCCCAACAAAGGCCTCATGATTGGCCCAAGAGTGTTCCTATTGCAAATCACAAAATTGGTTTGGCTCATAATAAGACAACTTACTGCAGTAATAAAATCAATAAAAACATTGTCAAAAACTCAGTCATGTTGCAAACAGTCTACTCTACTGTAAAACCAAATACAACAAGCCAAAACAACCCCAAATAGCCCCTGCAAAGACAGCCTCCTATGCTGTCCCAAAGCCAGATACTACTAGCCTGTAGAAATAGGCCAAAAAAAACCAGTCCACTCCCCTCCAAAACCTGTCAACATTGTACACAAATGACTAACAAGAACTGCATCAAAAAGACATTCAAACAGCATACCAAAACACTTCAAAAGTCATGTTATCTTTCCCCCCAAAACCTTTTTTTCGCGGATATAACAGAGATTAAAAAAATCAGATGTATTCCTGTGTTCGATATATTTGAAATAATATGCATATAATTACTAAAATGTCACATTGTTATCACTTTATTTTCTAGTTTGGAACATTGTAACTGTAAATTACTGATGAAAAGTGAAAACATAGTTGCATTTCATTAATTATTAGTAAAAATAGAAAATAAAAACAAAGATAATGTTCTCAAGCCACATATCACATACCAATTTATTTTAGGTGCATTATTAGTAAAATATCAAGACAATTGGATTTAGCAAAACAATTACCATTCAAAGATTTATTATTAACAAACACATATTAGCAATAATGAGCATTGCCAAGGATGAATGGACCAAAATGAAAGTTGAACAACTTGCATCAACTCTAGCAATTTCTGCTGTAGCAATAGCATTTCCAGTTACGGAAAGACCGGGACAACCATAACCATGAGAACCAATTACAGTAAAAACTTTTTAATTGTCTTAATATAAGGGAAATATGTAAATAGAGAACCTTGTCAACACATATAGAGAGTCACAAACACACACATATGCAGCTTAATTTACAATCAGGTCTCTCAGAGATGAACTTATTAACAAATTGACAACTTTAAGGACCACACAAATTAACACAAGTAGCTTCTTAATCAAATTGTATATTTACAATCAGGTCTCTCATGGAAGTAAATGTATGGTTATAGATTGTTAAATAACTCGCTATCCATTTCAAGTCAAAGTTAACTTCTACTTAAACTCTTTGAATTGAACACAAATATCCCTGATAAGTTCGATAATGAGAAACTCACAGATCTTGGAGATGAGATATGTTAGCAACTTTCACTGGTATTGAACCGATTAATTGATCTAAGAGGAGACCCCTATATGATGATCACGAAACATGTTTTCATTAGCTTTTTTTTCTCGCATGTATTTACTCTAAGAAAATGAATGTGAAGTCTTATAAAGAATGTAAATAAGACCATATGTCAAGATTTTACAATATATCAAACAATCAGTGATTAAAAACCATAAAAGAAAAAGAAGAGAGTAATCATACAGTTTAAGAATACTCGTCAAGAAGCCACATTCTTTAGGAATTGTACCATTCAAGTTATTGCGAACGAGGTCACTGTAATAAAGGGAGAGAAAGAGTTTGTCATGCAAAATAAAACATTAGTTGACTTTGTAATGCTGCAAATTCAGTTCTCATAATTTGTTCACCGTCGAAAGAGAAAATGAGTTTTTGATATGAACTAAATCTTTAGAGTATTCTAGTCCATAAAAAGCGACAACTCTTCTTCATATAATTATAAAAAAGGTATGTGATTAGATCGTTAAAACAAATTTAGATTATACAAAAATAATAACAGAACAAAAATTTAAAATAATAACAGTTAAAATTATCCAAACCAGTATATACTTTGACTATGTAAGAAACCAATGTATATCATGCACATCCAAACCAGTGTATACTTTCATATCGGTAAAATCAATCATAAAATCATATATTCCTAGACATCCACAATGCAAAGTAAAGAAAAAATCCAAAAATAAAGTCAACATGAAAATAACATTACACAGAAATCATGGTTTTGATTAGTCAGCAGTAGTGAATATATTTATACTGTGAGTACCACGATAATTTTGGGATACATATCCACACTACGAAGCCCAACCTACTGAACATTACAACTGAGTATGAATCATAGAAAGTGTAAGATAATTTAGAAAACTTAACAAATCTAGAACTAAACAAATCTAACTGAATAGGCTGAGTGAATGTTAAAAAATACACTCATAGATGAGATAATTTGGAAGACTTACCCACAAACAGCTTTTAAGAAAACTTTATTTCATACTCTGACTGTGAATGCTTATTGAACCACCTTGCCACCAAAACATTTGTGCTTTTAAAATATTGAAAATAACAATAATGATATTCATAAAAACTTTTCCACAAACACATTAAATGAAAAAAAAAAATAAGCTTACCGGATCTGGCTTTAACGTAACCTTATTCTTCCGATCATTCACATTTAGGGATGCAAGTGTCTTTTCGTATGCTTTGGCAAAGAGCAACGCTACATCAATAGAGTGATTCTCATTCCTATCAAACTACAGATCAAGGAATATTACCTACAAAAAAATTGGGAGAGAGGGAGAGAAGAGAAATGTTGAGTCAGCTAGGGTTTAAATCAAGCACCAAGGTTGAATATGCAGACAATGTCATTTGAAAAAAATATGAAGAACCAAACTCGTAGTGAGTGATTGAAGGACAAAAGGGGCGGCAGCGGTCTAGGGTCTGGGAAGAGACGCCAGAGAACACGGAAGAGAGAAATGAAAAGTTCGTGCAAGAGAGAGAAAGAGAAAATGCATTGTTTGGGCATTCCAAAGCAAGTACATCTCGGCGGCGGTGTCGGGGTTTCATGGAAATAGAGATTAGAACAGCGAATACTTGGTATTAGAGTAAGGCGAATAATAGAAGTGTTAAGCTTTGTTTTAAGCTTGTTATGACTAGCACTTGTTATGTTCTGTATGTTTGCCTACCTGTTGTAGCAGGTCACACAGATTGCCTTATAAATGCAACTGTGTGCACTCTCTGTAACTAATTTTTGCAGTTCAAATAACAGAAATGAAAAGTTTCTCTATATTTTCTATCTCTGCTATGTCTTCTGTCATGGTATCAGATTAAGCCATTCTCGATCCATGGCGTCACCGGGATCGTCGTCTTCCGCTAACGTCACAGTGTTGATTTCGTCGTTCACGGCGGCGACTGCTGAAATGCATCATCTTCAATTCTCTCTCAAAATCGCGCACTGTGATACGGTGGCCAGAACTGGGACTTGGTTTTTTAGGATTGTTGGTTTGCGTTTTGCGTTTGTGTTTGCAAAATGTCGCGGTAAGCAAGAGTCGCCACCGACTTTTATTTTATCCAACAAGGAAAGGAAAAAAGCACAGAAAAATTCCTTTTTCGAGATATTTCTGAGTACGGGAGGTAGATTATAGAAAGGGAAGGTATTAACACCCTTTTTATCCGTAGTTATCTACGGGCTCTTAGGTACTTGCTCATCATTTTCAAAATTGTTTTCTTTGTGTTTCTGTGGTTTGAAAAGCTTTTGTTTTGACTTCGATTTAACTCTTGCTTCTGTCTTCAAGAGTGTAATGAAGTGTTTTTGAAAACTTTGTTTGTAAGGAGTGTAAGTGTGAAAAAGTTTGTTTGAATTGAGCAAGTACTTAAGAATTAATCTACCTACTCGAAAAAAGAATCGTCATATGTTCGTTTCCTTTAGACAGTGTTATCCCACTATTAATGAGTAGGTAACACTGTCGTTGGAATTTTGAGGGTCAATTCGAAAGGGGCGTACGGTCACTAAAGCAACGTTAGGACATCTTAGTAGTAACCCTAATGTCTTAGATCAATTATCTGAGGCAACAATATCCGAGGCAACCTTTCCGAGGTGTGATATGGTGGGAGAAAACTGACTGTTTTTGGAATGCTGGTTCGCGTTTTGCGTTTGTTTTCGCAAAATGTCGCGGTAAGCAAGAGTCGCCACCGTCTTTTATTTTATCCAAGAAGGAAAGGAAAAAAGCACAGAAAAATTCTTTTTTCGAGATGTTTCTCGGGTCTGGGGGTAGATTATAGAAAGGGAAAGTGTTAGCACCCTTTCTATCCGTGGTTATCCACAGGCTCTTAGGTACTTGCTCAAAGTGTTTTCAAAATTTGCTTTTTCTTTGTGTTTGTGGGTTTGAAAGAAGTTTTTGTTTTGAAAAGAAGTGTAAGTGCGAAAATTTTGTTTTGTTTTGAAAGAGCAAGTACTTAAGAACCATCTACCTACTCGAAAAAGGAATCAATATGTGCTAATGTCCTTTAGACAATGTTATCCCACTATTGATGAGTAGGTAGCATCGTCGTTTGGAGTTTTAAGGGTCAATTCGATTAAGGGACGTGCGGTCACTAAAGCAATGTTAGGACGCCTTAGCGGTAACCCTAATGTCTTAGATCATTTTTCCGAGGCAACTATGCTCAATGACCACGTTCGAAGGCAACCAAGCGAGGTGTACCCTAAGAATGCGCATGTGTGAGTGTGTTATTTCGGTTAATTTTATCTTTGTACATGTCAATGGTTATCTATGTTGATTTTAGGTTTAAACATTTGATCTTGTCATGCATTCCCTATTATCAAACATCTAACAGTTTATAAGTTGCGGAAATTAAATTGCGGGAATTAAACTAACTATTACAAGGCGTCGGGTATTTACATCGCCAAAAAGCAACCTTTGAAATTAAAATGCGGAAAGTAAATAAAGCGATAAAAATATTTAAAGTCCTATTAAACTATTACATTCTGGGAAACAGATACAATATTGAAACAAAATAGATCGCATGCGAGAAAATTAAATCGGGCGCATTCTAGGGTTTTGACTCTTTTGTTTATTAAAAAAGATTTTTGGTTTATTTTTTAATTAAGAAAGAAATTAAATTAGGTTAATTATTAAATTAATAAACTAATTAATTAATTAATGAAAATAATATTTTTTTGGATTTTTTATATTTAAAGAAATAAAAATAAATTTGATTAATGTTAATAAAACCTAATTGTCTAAATTAATTTTAATTATTGCAAAAGATATTAAAGTTATTTTCTAATTAAACTAAATTAATTAAATTAATTTTATTAACAAAAATAAATTAAAATGCTGGAAATTAATTTTAATAATGAAAATGTTTTTTAGTTTTAATTTTATCAAGAAAAAGTTTTAATTGGTTAGTTAAACAATAAAAATAACAAACAATTAAATAAAATAAAGAAAATAATAAAAGAAAAGAGAAAATTTAGGATGTTTTGGGCCTGATTTGGGGGTGAGATTGGCAATTTCCATGGCCCATCATGCAAGCCTGGTTGACTTTTGGATTCTCCACGCGCCCTTTGACTTGATCCCACCATAGGCCTTCATTATGGACAACCAGATCTGGCCTGGGGCCATCTGGCAGATGATTGGGTGATGGTGTATGGTGAAGTACAACTCCTGAAACGCGTTGGAATTCCTGAAGAAAAATAGCAAAGCAATATGGGGGACCTGGGATTCGAACTCAAGTCCTGTAAGTCATTGGACAACGCCCTTGCCACTGCACCATTACGCTTCATTTGTTAGTATATTGGATAACAATAATAATATTGGAAATCAAATAATATGCCAGAATTAAAAATTAAAAACGCGCGAAGTTTGAAACATCCAACCAAGGGGAGACGCATCATCGTCTTCCTCGTTCAACCCTGGTTATTTACCTGCGGATTTATATCCGCAGCTAAATCTGTATTTGCATCCTAAAATCTACTCTAGGCCATGGAAATTAATTCCAAGCACATGGTTGTGCTCGTTTAGGCTTCCTGATCACGCATATGTCCATCAATGGTATCAATTTCGCCTGCAAAAGAAACACCCCAAAAACACGAACCAAGAACCCTAGACTCGGCTATAGAGTTACAGGCTATATAAATGCAATCAAATAATGCAGAAAGCTTGTAAATTGAACAAGGATCATGAATATGTCAACGATTTGCCAAGAAAATGCAAGAATGTGGATCTACAATTTCAAACGAAAAGCACTTTTCTGAGACACTTACAGGGCTTTTGTGCGTGTATGGAGATTGGTTTTGAGTTGGCTTCGCTTCAGTGGATGTCCAACAAGTGATTGGTGTTGAGATTTGGTGTTGAAACTGCCTCTAAGCACGATTTCAATTCCACACATTTTTGCAATTTTTCTCAAGTTTTCTTTTGATGGTTCTGCAGCTTCTAACCTCTGATCTCGTGTCCTTTGCCTTGTATATGTAATAAGCAATGCATTAGGTCAACAATTTTGGACTGAATCCTTGTACATTATGGCTTAGAGATTTGATTTGATCCTCCATTGAAAACTTGCTTATTTTGTCCAAAATCCAATCTTTTTGCACATGGAATGGCTGATACGAGTTTGATCATGTCATTGATGATGATTAGGTCCTGAAAATAGAAAAAGATCTCATGTAATCAAATATTGTGATTTTATTTGATTTAAATTGATTTAAAATGAATTAATTCAATAAAAAATAAAATAAAAATAGAAAAATTAATAAATGGACACAAGGCTGAAGCTAGGACACGTGTGGAGTGTGACAAGATCAAATCAAGTGGAAAAGAATGGGACCATTTGACAAAATTTAAAGTTTTGGGGATAGTTGACTTTTGGCAATTTTGCAAAAATGCCCAACTTCAACAATGCATAACTTCTTCAATTTTTAACTTTTGGAAGTGTTCTTGGACTTTTTAGAAAGCTTGAGATGTCATCTAACCAACCCTTTTGGTCTCATATCATTTTGATATTCCATGCTCAAGTTATAAGCTTCGGAAAAAAAGGTGTTTTTGTTGACTTTCAAAAATGACCTATAATGTCCAAATTTGTAACTTCTTGTGAGTGAATTTCTTGATCTTTGGGTATGAATATTGATTGTGGGAAATTGCATCCTCTTAAAAATGAGGTTTGGATGGGTCATTTATCATAAAGTATGAGAAAGTTATGCTTGGTCAAAGTTGAGTTGACTTTTCCTACAAACCCCTAATTTAGCAACTTTTGAGTCTTGATGAATTTTGAGCAATCCTTGATGAATCATGATCAACCCTTGATCAAATGATGAAATATCCTTCAAAATGAGAATGTTGACAAAAAATCTTGAAGTTTGACTGTATTTGGGTCACAGTTGACTTTTGCCCTAGCATAGTCGATTTTTGGACCTTTTGAGCATTTGACTGAGCAAACTTCCTCTGCAAGGCTTGAAATTTGGCATGGATGAACTTGAGAACATATTAGGACATTGGGGAGAACTTGAGGTCATTTGGATGCAAGGACCTTGATGCAACACAAAACCCTAATTTGAGGTTGATTGCCTTAGGAGATAGCTTGACTGTCCAACTCTTGAGCAATCTTGAACCACTTGGAGATTTTTCTTGCAATGTATTGAGAAATATGAGAGGTCAAATTTTGGGATACAGCAGCTGCCCCTGTTCAATCTTCTTAAATCTGAGGATATAGATTGGCTTTCGGGCCTTTCGTGATCCGAAGGTGGAAGATGATTGAACACTAGAGTGCCCAGAAATTTGCACTCGCATGAAGTGGTATCAGCATTGTGATGTCGGGAATGGGCATACAGATGCCATTTGGAGATTGTTGATAGGTAGTATGAACTTCGGCTGGAATAGGAATCAGGGAGATCTTATCGGCGATCTGACTGAACCAGAGGAGGTCTTGGATTAACTTTGACTGGATCGGCATCAGAAAAATCTTTGAAGCGATTTAACTAGACCAGACAAGAGTCTTGGAACAACTTCAACTGGAATACGAATTAGGGAGATCTTATCAGCGATCTAACTAAACCAGAGGAGGTCTTGGATTAACTTTGACTGGATCGGCATCAGAGAAATCTTCGAATCGATTTAACTGGACCAGACAAGAGTCTTGGAACAACTTCAACTGGAATACGAA